CTAAAACCATCGCTGAGATATACCGCTTTAAAGTGTGTGTGGCGTAACGAGAGCTTCGTCCAGCCGCGCTCCGCATTGTTAATTTGATTGTTCCCGGCACGCGTCATTGGTTTTTGTTTAGATTATTGCAGGTGACACAGAAAATAGTTATTTTTGTATCTAGTGCGCGAAATGCTACTTTGGTAATTGTGAGATCTGATTTTTTTAACGAGGCGCAGCCAAGTTAAAAAAAATAGTCGAGATCACCAAAGTATTTCGCGCCCGAGTTGCAAACAATATTTTTTCTACAACTCCATTTAAATATCGATCATTCGAAGCCAAAATTGCATTTCCAATCAAAGGCAGAAGTGAATTTTAATTATTTTTTGGCATCCTGACAGGTATGTGTCACCATGTCACCAGTGTGCGAACTAGCTATTTCGCACACTGGTGTCATGGGAACGTCAAAAAATCAATACCTGGGAAAAAAGTGTCACTCCGCAAAGTCATGAGTATGCAAACCTCATCATTTTTTGACAGTTGTAGAAAAAATATATAGGGGTTTTCGAGCGCTTGACCGGTAAATACCATTTACTGTGGGTATTTACCAATTTAATTTAAGCGGTTTGGTAATTCGTGGTCATTACCTAAAAACGAGTCCTTGGTCTTCGTTGTGACGTTATTCTTCGACATTGACAAGCAGTGGTATTTACCGGTATTTACACAACTTTCGACCTGTTTTTCACCTCCCACCATTTCTGTTGATGACAATTGACTTGTGTTAGTCCAGTGGTCCAGTCCCAGTTTCAGTATTTTAAATTTGTAATTTAAATAATCATCATGGATAGAAGAGAAAGGTTCCAAATCCTCTTGAACTATGAGGGAAAAGTTATTCAACGTCAACGATATGTATCCAGCCCAAGGATTATCAAATGCATCTTCATCTTTGAAAGAAACGAGCGAACCAGAAAATAGAAAATTAATTGGAAAATAATAAAAATATAATTGTTTGGTTAGAGCAAAATGTAAACAAATACAAGGGGATTAAGGGGAAGGGAGAAGCAGACAAATTTGATAAATCAAAACCAAAATGATAACTAACAACCAACTAATTTCAAGCGTTTTGGAAGTGCTTTGACCATAAACTGTCAAAGAAACGTCAAAGGACTGTGACCCAGGACAACCGAGGGCATGACTGCGGTATTTACCGGTCAAGCGCTCGAAAACCCCTTATGTAAATTCAATTTACTTCACTTTCTCGTGCGTCGCTTGAGCTTTCGTGACGTCATAGGGTGAGATTTGGTGCCTTCATATCTTCGGTATTATTTGTCATAGAGGGGTGCGGTTTTCACTGTTATTCTTAGATTTTTTTTCTCTTTTTTTTGAGATGAAGTTGGTTTTTTTGGCGCACACCCCCTTTAAGACGAGAGCGTTCCAGTGCTGCTTATGTCGAACAGTTCAAGAGCGTCACACTCCAGGAGTATGATACTCTAACGATTTAGGCACTGGAAAGCAGCTCTGGTTCTGCTGAACGATTCAACTTTTCAATGATAGAACGTTACCCTCCGAATGTCATGTCACCTCACAAAACACAAAGTGTTGAAAATTATAAACACTCTTTAATTATGTTTGCAAAATAGGCGACCGTTTGCAAAAGATGTTTGGTTTCAACATAAATTCAACGTAGCGTTTAGCAGAACAATCGTAAAGCGTTTACCAACGTTTCTGGTGAACGAGGCCAATGACGTCATAACTCTCTCGACAGGAGAAATGAGGTGTTTTCTCGCGTCTCAAAGTTTTGAAAAATTTTCCAAAACTGGCTTAAAACAGTTTCACCATGACGTCATAACTTCTCGGCGGATACAACTATTGCGGAATTCTGCATTTGATTGCGAGTCTACAATTTTTGAAAAATTCCGTTGGCTGGAAAATCTCATTTTTGCCGCTTGAACATAAAAATGGCATGAGATCTACTCTACCAGTCGAGAGCGCTATTCTGTACATGGCATCGACAGACAGTCGTCGGTATCGGTATGTTACCAAGAGCCATCGGTTGCGCGACCGCGACCGGATCAAGACGACGCTATTCTGTATGCCACTGTTACCCGGATGATACACACCTACAAGGATTGCTTATCGGCCTCGTTCATGCCATGGGCGCCCGGAGGGGGGGGCAGGGGGGGGCATCTGCCCCCCCCTGGCTTTTAATATAAATACTTAAAGGAAAAGCTTTTTTTCCCGTCCGAAATAAAAGTATTTCCAAATTGTTTTATTTTTTAACTAGCGGACCCGGCGAACTTCGTAACGCCTCAGAATCAATAAATGCTAATGCGTTAATTAGCTTAATCAAATTCAGTTTTTTAGTAATATAAAATGATTACTAACAATAAATTATGTGGTTCAATAAATGTTTAAAAATCAAAATGGAACAAACCGCGCAATCAGACGCGGCAAACTTGGTATCGGTTATAAGACATGGCGCCGTATGCATATTTAGTGAATTTTCTTCATAAATATGTTTTTCTTTTTCTTTTTTTTTTATATGTTCCAATGTTCCAATAGTTGTTATGTAATTCGGGCCAGACAAAACCAATATAACAAAAATCATAAAAATCGGCCTAGCAGTTCTCGAGTTATAGGTTCTGCAACCAACCCGACAGATAGATAGATAGATAATACAGTTACGTCAGTTGAATGCGAAAATTTGAATTTTTAAATTTTTTAAAAAAATAATACAGTTACGTCGGTTGAATGCGCAAACTTAAATAAATGTGGCAACGTTGTTTCATATTGTCAAAAAAAGTTGGGTCATGTATGCGAATAAGTTTGTTTATAATTAATTAAAAATTAATTTTGTTTTCCGAAAAAAAATGTAGCCTATACTTACTCCCTTTATATAGTGACTAAGTGGTATAAATTCCAAGGAGATCGGTCCAGTCGTTCTTGTGTTCTAAAAAATAATACAGTTACGTCGCGTCGGTTGAATGCACAAGCTCAAATAAATGTGGCAACGTTTTTTCATGTTCTCAACAAAAAAAAGTTGGGTCATGTATGTGAATGAGTTTGTTTATAATTATTAATTAATTAAAAATATTTTTTTCCGGGATAAAAAGTAGTCTATGTCACTTCCCTTCAGATAGAGACTACGTGGTTTAAATTTCAAGGAGATCGGTCGAGCCGTTCTCGAGTTATAAGTGCTTCCACAAAACACAACTGTGTTTTATATATATAGATGTTTATTATATTAATTACAATTAGCAAAATTTGGGTGTGGCCCAAAAAAAAATTCCGCCTGCGGTGCGCTTTCCACGATTCCCCCAAGAGCAGTTTATTTGCCCCCCCCCTGTGTAAAATTCTGCGGGCGCCGTTGGTTCATGCTGTGCTAGTGTGTTTATTTTTTCGTCGATTTTAAATGTAGGAAAGGTGATTTTCGGTCCGTTCTCACAGAAGAAATTAAGTGTTCTAGATCCTCGAGTATCCCAGAATTTGATAGTGGGGAAGTTAGGAGAGTATGACACAAATGACATATCACATAATCCAGCAAAAGATTATGCTTGTTTAAGCTCACGAAAAATTGCCTAATATACAATAAAGACGGAACACTCGTTCTCCTGAGAATGCTGCTCCCTGCTCCCCTGGTTCAAGAATAAGGATCCTGATAGCATCCTGTATCATAAAATCTCAATGCTGTGAGAACCTGCGAGCAGAAGAAAAAAACTAGAATTTATGCTATACCTAACTGTTGTTTTTTTTTTCTAATAAAATCAACGTAGAACATAAACCTGATGTTCAACCGAAATCTCAGTTGGTCTGGTCGATGTACAGGTGTACAAGTCCACAGCCAAATAACCAAGCCGACACCTAGTCTATTAAAAATTAATTACATATTAAAAAAGTGAATCATTTTCGTACAATAGAATTCAGAGAATAAGATGATCACGTGACATTTAACTTTTTCATGAATATTAAGGTTAAATATAGGTACTCTTATGAAATGATTCGAACAGTTTTAATATTCATTTTTTTGGAGAATTGAAAGGGGTTTTGAACAATAATGCAATAAAACATTGTAAAATACCCATCCTCTAATGCCATTTCAGCAATCGAAAAAAATGCAATACATATTTTGAAACAGAAATTTAAATACAGGCCCAGTAATGCTTACCTCATGCAACACTAAACTGAAAAATAGGTGTTCAAATAGTTCAAATTCACCTAAATAATCCGCAATTCCAACCAAAACAAAACATCAACAAAAAAAACAACGTCGGTAGCATTTACCGTTGGGTTGATGGGGGAACGGTAGAGATACCAATTCTCGTCGACTCGAATTCACGATATCGGTTGTCGGTTGGGAACAGAGCATACAGAATGCCGCCCGGTGCAACTAGCCAACCGATGTCGGTAAGTGACAGTTAACCATTCCGATGGCTCTCGGAAACCAATAGCGCTCGGAAATATTTATTCATTTATTGCACCACCTACCAATCGAAAACGGAATGCCGAATGGGCCAAACGAGGCCGTGCTGTGCTGTTTGAGGTTATGATGTGCATTCAGCATTTCATTCTGCAATAATAAGTGAGACAGCTGAGTTGACTCAGCAGTGACCTCAATGAAAGTGATAAAATGTAGGGTTGACAAACTATCGAAAAAAAAACTATCGATAGTAATATCGATAGAATGGCCTACCCATCGATAGTAACTATCGATTGTACTATCGATAGTTTGCTCTGGCCAAAGTAACCAAATTTGTAATTAATTACGATAAACATTAACCTCCAACCTCCATCAAGTCCATCAGTCACTCGTCATTCCTCCTAACTGAAAAATTGGCAGCACAGCATGTCTATCCCCAAAAATAATTACAGATTTCTAAAAAAAACTACAGATTTCTTTATAATTCCCTCAATATACAGATGTTTTCATTTACCTTTGGCTACATTGGAACTATCGATATTGGTACAGGTCTATCAATACTATCGAAAATTAAAAAACTATCGATAGTATCGATATTCCTATCGATAGTTTGTTATCCCTAATAAAATGACCACCAAAATCACAACATAAAAAATGGCATAAAGGCATAGAGGATAGGTATTTTAAATATTCAAGTTTTGTTGAACTTTTGCGTGTTTGTGATAAAAAATTGATATACACGTACATATTTTTGTAGTATTTGGGTAAGCTTGTCTCAGGCAGGGCATGGGATCAATACAATCAAGCTTTATACAAAGAAGTTGGACCTAATAAGGTCTTATCAGATCGGGTAATATCGAACTTTACTATACACGATAAACCATCCAAATGAATCAAGAGGAGCGTAATTTTAGATCAATTTATTATGAAAAAGTGGGATTTAAAAGTGTGGAAGAAAAAAAGTCACTGGAAATACTCTTAAAAGATAAATCTTTGGATCTAATCAAGCTGAAACAGTTTTGTGTAAGATTTTCTGTACCTCAAACTTATAGATGTTTGTTATGGAAATTATTATTGGGTAAGAAACTTGCCCTCAATAATTTTTCCTATAATACCTACTTCCTTCAAACTGGTGTTTGAGATTTAAAATGTAAAACAAAGAGCAGCAGTACAATTATTATGGTTACCCACTTTACACTTTTAACATATAATGTACCTACACAAGTTTAAAATAAATCAATAAAAAGGACAAAACAAAGTGAAAATATTTACTTGCACAATAGAACACTTTCACATTTTTCAAAAACATTTCTAAGTTATTGTGTTAGTCATTCTAATAACATCTGTAGGTATATAATATTAACTCAGAAGTGTTAATAAAATAAAGGACCTTAAAGTTATGATGGACATATCATTATCTTTTGGAGATCATATTGAATATGTAAAAAATAAAGCTTTGAAAATGCTAGGTTTTGTTAAGCTCAGTGTTTCAAAATTTACTTAGGGTCTATAGTTTTCAGAATTTATACTGCTCTCTTATTAGATCTGTTTTGGAGTATGATTCGACTGTTTGGTCTCCTCTCTATGATGTTCATATTAACAGTTTAGAAAAAGTCCAAAGAATTTTTTTTTAGATTTAAGTATAGGCTACAAATTTAACATTCCTGTTGAATCAATAGATTACCATGACATTAGTAAATTATAAATTAGAAAATAGAAGAGATTTTTTAGACTTAATTTAATAGAAAATAAGTACACAGTCTCCTATAGACGTTAAGTTTATTATGCCGCGACGCCATCTTGTACGTCAAACATCAAATGGCCCCATATGCAGGCCAACGACGGCGTTCGTACAGCTTTACTTAACTTAAGGTTAAACGTAACTTAACAAAAAGTTCGCCAAACTTTTATCTGTTCCCTAAATTTCTTGAATTAAATGTGGATTAAGGATATTGCGCAAACTCGAATTTTGACATACGTCATATGTATCATTGGCAGAATATTTAAATCTTAAATTAAATTAAAGTTTCTGATGAACTTCTAAAAATAAATTTAAATTAAGTCAGTTAGATTAGAACCCACCTTAACTTAGTTTAAAACAGTTGTAAAAGTAAGAGTTTTGGGACGCACTATTCAAACGGAAATATTTCGCGCCTTGATTCTACGTCATATCGAGCTGTTGTATTTGAGTATGAATTAAATCGAACCTAATTCCGATATTGGACACTAAACTTACTAATTAGTGCAAAAAGAGAGATATTCGCGAAAGGTCCCGAAGCAAGTTTGCATTTGGCCCCCGGCATTGTTTCTGGAAGTTTTTAATTTTCTACAGAATATTTTTCTCTACAGAATATTTTTCTTTTTATGTATTGTTTCTGTTATATAAATCACAAAAACGCCATGAAACACAATTTAACGAAAATTAACCTCAAGTAACTGGCTTTATTGTTCACTGATATCGGCAGACATATTACTATTTCCGCGTAATTTAACGCCATCTATTGGTACATGAATTTCGCGAATCATTACATCTAGGAGCACCTTCAATTTAACCCCACTTTTTGAGAGATTTCCATTTGCATTATTTGTCAATCAGTGCCTACTGAATTTATCCGCATCTTTTTCTAAAAGCATGTGAAATATAGGGACGCGCAGACCGCGATCGCGCTCCCACCGCTCTTTATTAATGTCGGAATGCTTAATGCCTTGACGCTATTGGACATAGGGCCGAATTTATAGTCGCTCCTTGAGGTTTCCCCAGGCCTTAACGAAGCCTTGAACGCTTAGAATTGATATGACTAACTTGTCAAATAGTAGCGAGTGTCCATTCTAAACTCACGACCTTCAAGGAAGACCCAAGGAACGACTATAAATTCGGCCCATAATTAACAGCTGTGACGTAATTTCCGGGCGGTAAATTAGGGTTTAAAATAAGTACAAATTTGTTTATTTTTTTTTAGGTACCTATATAGGTATTTTTGTTTTCTCTAAAATCAAAGAATCATCCACTACTATTTACTTGTTATGAAGATTATTGGAAAAAATAATTCAAAAAATTGTCCACTACCCTATTATGCGAGGGGTCAACCGCGGTTCCAATAATTCCAAAAAAAATCAAATAATTCCAACAATTCCAACGAAAATTCCAATAATTCCAAACAATTCCAGCATTCCAGCAAAAATTCCACCAATTCCCATAATTCCAGTTAAAATTCCAAAAATTCGATTGAAAGTTTCGATTCCAACAATTCCTAATAATTTCTAACAATTCCAATAATTTTAAAGGAGCATTTACATTCACTTCTAACTTCAAGTTGAATTTGACGTTTGATATTTTATCATTTACATTGCAGGGGAGGGATTCTCATCTTCTAGCCGCAACCTATCGTCCCGACTCACTCGTAGAAAGGCAATGGAATAATCGGGACGATAGGTTGCGACTAGAGGATGATAATCCCCCAGCTGAACAAAAACGTCAAGTCAAAACGTCAGAATTTTATGAGAGTTAAGCCTAGTCTCCATGGACGCGAAATCGCGAATTTTTTTTTGCGGATATTTTCCGATTGGTTGGAATTTGACATTTAACATTTGATTTTTTTATGGCGGGAAAAATTCGCGAATTTTTTAACTTCTTGCGGCGTCGCAAAAAAGTTAACTATTTTTTAACTTTCCGCGAAATTTCGCCAAAAAAAAATGAGGTTATGTGGTGTTACTTTCAGTTTAGTTTTGTTTATGTTTTTGTCGGTATGTGCTCTGTTCTCTGTGAGTCGTTGATGTGTTTTGTACTTGTAGATACCTAATAAAGAATGGATACTGCCAAAGAATTGAATATTGTAGACCCGAAAACAGACATAAATTACAGCTTGCTGGTTGATGAGGAAGATTATAATAGGGCCTTAAATGTAATTAAGACAACACCAAGATACATATCTTTTTTTGTTTTTTAGTAATCACTTTCATGGTTTTCAAAGATTAGTGTTTGAAATTCAAAGCATTTAAATCGAATTCAAATTGATTACAAACAACAACACATAGGTAACCTTAACCTGTTAAATAAAACGCGAATTTCGCGCTTATGGAGACATGGGAATAATTTGCTCGGAAATAGCCACCAAAAAATGACACTTAAAAAATTCGCTTTCCGCGATTTCGCGTCTATGGAAACTAGGCTTTAAGCTAAGTCCTCATAATCGCGAATTGCGAACTTTTTTTCTGCGGAATTGTTCCTATTGGTCCCAATTATTTGAAATTATAATGGCGGGAAAATCTCGCGAATGTTTTCAAGTTCTTGCGGCATCACAAAAAAGTTTAAAATAATTTAACTTTTTGGCGAATAAACTACCACACACTTCTTCCCAGATTATTCGAAAGTTAAATTATTTCAACTTTTCTGCGATGCCGCAAGAAGTTGAAAACATTCGCGAGATTTTCCCGCCATTATAATTTCAAATAATTTGGACCAATAGGAACAATTCCGCAGAAAAAAAGTTCGCAATTCGCGATTATGAGGACTTAGCTTCATGATGAATAATCTAAAAATTTGACATTTCACAAATTTCTGCTTGAAGTGCACTTCGAAGTGAACTTCAAATTTATTTCAATGTAAATGGATCTGTGCTGTCGCCACATGGCAAGCACGTCAATTTCAAGAAATATTGGACTTTGAAGTGAATGTAAATGCACCATAATTCCAATTATTATATATTTTAATTATTTGCTAGATTTTTCCTTCCAGAACGAATAGACATAAGCAGCATTCAGAAATAAGTGATTGAAGTAAAAACTAAAGTAATAATTATTGTTATGCGAAAAACAATAATAACTGTAAGTGAATATCTCAGTAGATATAATATTTCTTATGACGCAAAAGCGAGCGCAGACGTGAAGTTTTGAGAGAAATGCAATGCATCGTTTTGATCTTCACAAATTTTATAATTCTTTTATATGTTGCACCATTCATTAATTAAATATGTAGAGTCCTGCACGGGATCGTGCACCTTCCTTGGTCTCTTAACTCTATGCTGTTGCAGATAAAAAAATTCGTATTACTATGTAATACTGTGATAGGGAACTACTTTTACCAAGACCTACAAATTATTTTGAAATATACAGAGGGGTTCGATAAGTTTCAGACTAAAGTTATGAAATTTAAACAAAACACCACGTATATTCTGCAATATTTCGATTTTTCGTTTAAAGATATACCTAGAATATAGAACATTTGTTAATTATTATGTCACATACCAAAATTCAATTGCTTTTACTTTGAGAATAATAAATTCCAGATATGTATCTAATTTTCGGAAGACGTTTATTTCATAAGTACTCGATTTCATACATCAAAAATACTTATATATTCTTTGAAACTCTATATTTTTTTTTCCAATATTTGAAAAGTCACTTCGACTTATTTCGAAAGGTCCAGTTCCTAGTAATTTCAAACGACCATAGAAAATATATTGCTCATAAACTCTATCGGTGTCATTAGATCTAGGCCATAAGAATTTGTCCAATTCCTGTTTTAAAAATTTAATTTTAAAATTATCCGGCTGTACCATCTGAATTCCACGTCCAACAAACCACTGTTCTTCATAGCTGACAGCATCCATTTTTATTTGAGGGTCATCAAGAGCAGTAAAATCATCCTCAACTTCGCTCTCGGTTTTTGACTCATCTTCTGAGGACTTTGAGATACTTCTAGTTCTATTTCCAGTTTCATCATTCTTCGAATGCAATTTCACCTTACATGATCAAGAATGGAAGCTTCCAATAAATCTTCTCAGGCGACCACTACTTACCCGGCCATTACTGTCACTTAATAACGAACATAGAGACGATTTTTTTATTACAGCTGTTTTGTCTTTAAGATAAACTTCAACGTAAGCTGATTTTTGGGAGATATCTTTCACCTCATCAGAATAATCTATTTTAAGTCTGAAGAGTCTCCGGTGCTTACACTCTCATTTTGTAACATCTCATGATATTGGTCTTCAGGTACTTCGGCTATATGTCCATTATCAATTTCTAGATCTTCAAGGTCATGATCGTTTTCATGTTCTTGATTGTCGTCCGCTATAA